GATGTGGCTGGGGCAGAACTGGAAGAAGCCTCCAGCCTCCAGCTCTTCCTCTTCTTGTGCTCACTCTCAAGAAAGAGGCCAGTGTCCCCCTGGGCACTGGGGACATTTAGGACTGAGTTATCCTCTGGGCCAGGCATCCTGGGCCTTGAAGGTCACTGAGCAGAACTCCTGGTCTTCACCCACTCCATGCTGGGAGCTCCCCAGTCGTGATGTGCACAGATGTCCCCAGACATGACCCTGGGTCCCCTGGGGTCACCCTGCTGGGAGCCCCTGAACCTAGTGACCCGGAGACGAGAGCCACCTGTCCCTCCCCCCGCCACCTCCACACTCGCACACACACGTGAGCACCTCCACCCAGGGCCTGAGTAAGGAAAGATTATAGAACTAGCAACCAGGGCTTCTGGAATTTTCCTCTCTACCACGTGGGACTGGACATGGAAGTGTGTGCATCCTCACAGAGGCCCTGGCAGAGGGGACAGGGGCCCAGCCACCCAGCCCGAGCCTCACAGACAGCCAGGGCCTGCAGTGTAGCTCAGGGAGACTCTGGGTTCAATCCCCAGCAAAACCCCCCAAAAAAATAAAAAAGAAAGAAAAGAGAAAACGAGGTACAAGCCAAGGATGCTGGAACCAGCTCAGCTGCCACCCCAGAGCCCAAAGTCCTTTTGTCTGCCCCAGACCACTCGCCCTTGACCCTGGGGACCACAACACCTACAGCTTTTCTCCCTCCCTCTCTCTCCCTCTCTCACTCTCTCTCTCTCTCTCTCTCTCTCTCTCTCTCTCTCCTCTCCTCTCCTTCTTTTTTGAGACAAAATCTTACTTTGTAGCCCAGGCTGGCCTCAAACTCAAAATCCTCCTGTCTCAGCCTCCCATGTACTGGAACTACAGGTGTACATCATCACACCTGGTCATAGCACCTGCTTCTGGCAGATGGACCTGGCGCATTTCTTATTGAGTCTTGCCTTTGGATGGCTACAAATATCACTTTCCAGTGGCATTGGATGGTCAGCACCACTGCTGTTGATGGATGCCATTCCAAACACTGTGCTTGGGTCCCCATGTACAGACAGGGACTCTTGATTCAAAGAACGTGTGGGCTGCTCATCCAGGGAAGGCAGCAGAGCCAGGACTAAACCTCAGGTGCACACCTGAACCTGAAAGACTTAACTTCCCAACACCTTGGAGCAGATGCTGGCTGTCTTCTAGAACCTTCTAGAAGTTTCTAGAGAGTTCTTCCTTCCATCTCATACTGCAGTCAAAATAAGCACCCTCTTTTCTAATCAGGAGCAAAAGTACAGGGAATAACATAACAGGCCCCTTTGCCCTTGGTTTCCATGATTTCAGTTATCTGCAGTCAACTGTGGTCTGGAAATATTAAGTGGAAAATTCCAGAAATAAACAATTCATGAGTTTTCAATTGTGTGCTGTTCTGTGTTAGTATAATGACACCTCACCCTCTCCTGCTGCACTGTGCCAGAATGTGAATCATACCTTTGTCCAGTGTATCCATGCTGTATATGCTACCCTCCCATTAATTACTCAGTAACTATATTGGTTATCAGGTCTACTCAAGGTATCACAACTCCTTGTGTTCAGTTAACCTTTATTTTACTTAATAGTGGACTCAAAGCACAAGATAATGATGCTGGAGATCTTATTACACACAGTATGCTATTATAATTGTTCTACTTTATTTTAGTTATTAATGTCTCACTAATTTATACATTAAACTTTATCATAGTTACGTGTGCATAGGAAAAAAACCAGGGTTTGGCACTCTCTGTGGGTTAGGCATCCACTGGGGGTCTTGGAACATATTGCCAGTGGATAAAGGGGAGAAAATTCTAACAAAATAACAGTGTCAGAACTATGGCACATGTTGGTAGGAGGCCCTGGGGAGCCACTGGGGTGTGAGAATATTGTCTGCCTTCATATGGGTGAGGGGGTACAGTGGGCACACTTTGAAAATGGATGGAGTTAAACATCAGCCACCTGTACCCTTTTATATGTATATATTTTGGGGGGGGCAGGGGTTGAGCCAGGCTTTCACTATGTAGTCCAGGCTGGCCTGGATCTTATGATCCTCCTGCCTCAGCCTCCCAAGTGCTCGGATTGCAGGTGTGCACCACCATGCCTGGGAGTTTATTCAAAGAAAGAATGTGGGGAAAATAAAAGGTCCAGGAGTGACCATTTAATACTCAGAGCTGGCAGGGCCATGGGAGACTGGGTGAGCCCCACCCCCTCTATCTCTAATGCAACCTTTTTTAAGAGCGAAGTTGGGAGTTGGGTGGCCAGGGCAGGGTGTGCAGTTCAGTGGTGAGCGCTCGCCAGGTCCACATAAGGCCCTGGGTTCATCCCCAACACCACACACAAAAGAAAGAAAGAAGGAAGGAAGGAAAGAAAGAAAGAAAAATGTTGGGAGTTGGTTCAAGACCCCTATACTTTTTTTTTCTTTTTTTGACAGTACTGGGGTTTGAACTCAGGGCTTCACGCTTGCTAGGCAGGCACTTCGCCACTTGAGCCACTCCACCAGCCCTTTTTTGTGTTGGGTGTTTTCAAGCTAGGGTCTGGAGAACTATTTGCCCAGGCTGGCTTTGAACCACGATCCTCCTGATCTCTGCCTCCTGAGTAGCTGGGATTACAGGCATGAGCCACCAATGCCCGGCAAGACCCCTATACTTATTATCCCCATATTTAACTTAAGAATTCACATTAAGCTAGACATGGTGGTCCATTTCTTTAATCCCTCCAGCCTGGCCTCACAGCAAGACTGTGGCTCAAATATAAATAGATAAATAAATAAAATTTTAAAATAAAATAAGGAATAATTCATATGAGAGAGACAGGCAGACAAAAACTTCCATCTGAAAATCCATGGCACAGTTATTTAAGAAGGGGAAAGAACTGGGAAATGACCAATATTAGCCAGCTCATTGATAATATAAATGATGGCACACCTGTCAGGTTAGCCATAAAGTCACATTGCACTTAGGATCCTGGACAGGATCCTGGGACAAGAAACACTCATTTGTGACATCCAGAGGACACTCGGAGTTTAGTGGCTGCAGCAGGAGACAGGGTCCCCACCCCGGCCTCACAGGGCCCTGCACTAACTACCTTATTTCTGGGTGTTTCATGAAAACCTTCCATTAAGGAAAAAAGTCAACCCAGGGGCAGTTCTGCTTCCAGGGGACTCTGGGCCATGTCTGGGGACATCTGTGGCTGTCACAACTGGGGAGCTCCTGGCTTGGAGTGGGTAGAGGCCAGGGACACTGCTCAGCACCCTGTAGGGCCCAGGATGTCCACAGAGATTCCTGGCCCAATGTCAAGGGGGTGACCTTGGCCTAGAAGAAAACTCCCTCCCCAGCCACCCTGTACCTGTGGCTGGGACCCTGAGGCCTGCATTCCCCCAGTCAACTTGTACCTGGCCTGCCTCCAGGTGTCCCACTGCACCTCAGGTCCCTTTGGCCTCTGTTGCCAACCCCAGGGCCCAGGGCTGGGAAAGGCCCGTGTGAGGCCCCCAGCCTGGCCTGGGAGCAGCCACTCTTTGTGTAGGTGGAAAAACCCCTGTTGGTTTGTGGAAACAGCAAGTGTTTGTAAAAGAAGAGGGGTTGGACCATTGGTAGGGATCACAGGGGACCTCTAGGGCCAGAGGGAAGCAGCCTGGACCACGTGAGCCCGCCAGCCAGATCGGGTCAGGAAGTTAGGCGTGGGCTGGGCCTCTGGTGGCCTTTCCAGGGCCAACCCCGTGCAGACTGAGCCCCAAGGCCGGGGATCCACGGGAACGCCAGGGTGGGCCAGCTGCCAGCTGCTCAGCCTTACCTGGAGCCCAACCTGGTGCAGCAGGCCCCTGGACACGGGTCTCTGCTAGCATCCAGCCTGATTGCCCAGAAAGGGCCAGGCACAGGGTCACCACTTGTCTCCCTGGGAATCCCCACACCCTTCATGCACTGTGCACTGAGCAGTGGGGACAGATGTACACCCCAGCCCCAGAGTCCAGTCACACTGCTGCACCTCCTTTCCTGTTGACCTCAGCCCTGGGCGGCTGGTGTCAGAGCCCCTGCCCTCCAGCCCCCCTGTGAGTCCTTCCCGCCAAGGTTAAGTGCTTTGCCCCCAATTTTGCATTTTCCATCTCTTTCTCCACCCGGCACATGGCTCACATCAAAGTAAAACCCAGAGAGATGGAAAAGCACCCAAATATTCCATGCAAGAGCTCAGTTCCTGAGAATTTTGTTTTTCTTCTACTGGGGCATCTGATGTTGTGGACTTTGACCATGAGTTGGGGAACCTCATATCCTGAAGTGGAATAATACAAGTTCAAGAAGAAAACTTGACCCCTTCCACACATGCACACACGCATGCCTGCAAAAAAAAAAAAAAGAGCTTTTCTGAATGAATTGTTTATAAAGAGTAAAGTTGAGCCAGGTGGGGTGGCTCAGACCTATTATCCCAGGTACTTGAGAGGCAGAGATCGGGAGGATTACAGTTGAAGGCCAGCCTGGGCAAAATAGTTAACAAGACCCTATCTTAACCAATAAGCTGGGCATGATGAAGTATGCCTGTGATCCCATCTAGAAGGGAGGCATAGGTAGGAGGATCAGGATCTGAGGCTGGCCCAAAAAATGAAGCCAAAAGGGCTGGAGTATGCCTCAAGAGTCCTAAGTTCAAACCCCACTACTACAAAAAAAAAAAAAAAGGAATAAAGCTGTTTCTTCTCCAGTTATTCTGAAGGACACAGCTGTTTTGAATTTCTCACATGTTGGAGTTAGGGTCTCTGAATCCTGTGCAAGTAAAAATATATTTAATCACACCTCTCTCTCTCTCTCTCTCTCTCTTTCTCTCTCTCTCTCTCTCTCACTTTCTCTCTCACTTTCTCTCTCTCTCTCTCTCACTTTCTCTCTTTCTCTCTCTCTCTCTCACTTTCTCTCTCTCTCTCTCTCTCACTCTCTCTCTCTCTCTCTCTCTCTCTCTCTCTCTCTCTCTCTCTCTCTCTCTCTCTCCAGGATATAGAGAGGCACTTCTGGGGAAACTAGTAAAGGTATGTATGTTTCATCTTCTCTCATGAACTTGGACTTTCTGATTTTTTAGAGAAAGGAAGAGACAAGCCATGGGGTATGTGTACATATGTGGGGGGGTTCTGTTGTGTTGTTTTGCTTTTGTGGAGCTGGGAATTGAACTCAGGGCCTTGTGCAGGTTAAGCAGACACTCACCACCTAGCTGCACCCCAGCCCAAGTCGTGGTATTTTATTTGCTCAGGGCACACAGGGAGATGTTATCCAGAAAGAAATCAGGGTTCAGAGCCAGGAGATCTGAGTTCAAATCCCAGGTCCCCCCACAGCAGCCCTGGCCTATTTGGGTGGAGACCTGCCATGTGAACATGATTGGGAATGCTGTTCTCCACTTTTGCAAGAATGTGGCAAAAATGAAACACGACTATCAGCACAAAAATGTCCAAGTGCACAGCATAACGTGCCAGGTATGTGAGTCAATTTCTGCTGCATTTGAGTTGAATCTGAAACTATATCTGGTTTGGTCATTTGTGTATTTGTAGGAATTTCTCAGTTTCGTGTGGATTGCCTAATGTGTGTGCAGGCTGCAGTCATTCTGACACTCCCGCCGTCCAATTTCTGTAAGGCCTGTAGTAGTTGCCTCCCCTTTCCACTTCCACTTTAGCTCTTTGCATTTTATCTTTTTTTTTTTTAAGAATCTGGCTAAAAGTCAGTGGGCTTCATGGATCTTTTCAAAGAATCAACTTTTGGTTTTATGAATTCCATGGTTTTTCTGTTCTCTGGTCTGTCTGCCTTCAAGCTAATCTTCACAGTTTCCTTCCTTCTGCTGACTTTGGGTTTCGATGGCTTCTCCTCTGGTTCCTGGTGGGTTAACGTTGGGGTGGGGATTCGAGATCTTTCCTCTTTCTTGCTGTACGTGTTCTGGGTTCCCTCAGATCATGGCTTTCCCTGCACCTGGGATAGGTTGCGTTTTCGTTTTCCTTGTCTCAGGGGATTTCCTAGCTCCCCTCATGGAATCCTTGGTTGTCTAAGACCGGGCTGCTCTGTCCCCATGCTGGGTTTGGGGAAAAGGAGGGACTGGGTGGGAGATGGCACCTGTGGGGCTGGGGTGGTGGGTGAAGGCAGGGCTGGTTTGGGGTGAGGCGCTTTGCTCCAGATCCCTGCTTCATTCCTCGTCTCTTCACCTTTCTAAGCACCACCTGCAACCACAGTGCTTGTCACATAGGCCTATAAAGGACAGACACATAGGCCATGGGCCTCCTCATCTAGGGCTGGGGGGGTCTTGGCCAGCTGGGCTGGAGGCCACCAAAACAAACCACTGCACGCTGGGGGGACTGCAAATGGCAGGTGTTTACTCTTTCTCCCACCCCCAGTCCTGGAGGCCAGAAAGTCTGAGACCCGGGTCTGTGCAGGGTGCCAAGGGAGGGTCCTTCCTGCCTTACCCAGTGTCTGGGGTAGTTGAGACTCCTTGGTGTCCACTGGCTTGTGGCTACACTAATTCAGTCTTCACCCCCCTCAGCCCTACAAGGTCTCACTATGTCGCCCAAGCTGGACTGGGCTACACAGGGTCCTCCTACCTCTGCCTCCCAAGTGCTGGGATTGCAGGCATGTACCACCACACCCAACTCAAATCTTCTTTGCATAAGGATGCCCACATTGGCTAGGACAGTGTCCTCATGTTAACTGATTACATCTATAAAGACTCCACCTCCGTATGAGGTCATGCTCACAGGTACCAGGGTTAGGACTTGAATATACCTTTGGGAAGGGAGAAGCCACAGTTCAACTCAGAATACCACAGATCCTGACTCTGTGCCTTTTATGCCAGAAGTGCCAGCTCTGATCTGAGTTTGTGGGTACAGGGGCTACAACCACCCTGGCCCAGAGAAGCCAGAGGGAAAAGGGGGGCTCCACCTTACCCCCCTGCTCGGCTGTCTCGCACTGTGATTTTAAGGCCTTTTAGGGTTGCTCAGTCTCTCTCTGGACTCTTCCTGAGGAGCTTCTTTTGGTGGCCAATATGTGGCCTGGATCCCCAAAACACCCCCCGCCAGAGGCATCTTTGTGACCCCCAGGCTCCAGCAGCTATGGCTGCAGAGCCCCTGATAAGGTGCTGCTATGGGGTGAGGTAGAATTTCATCCAGAGCTCCCATCCTGCACTGTGAACAGAGCTTGGCCCACTTGCTTGCTTTCAGGCAGAGGGTGCCAACTACCTGCGCCTACAAGCAGCCGTGGCTACATAGTCATCTCAGGTTATTTGTTCAACTCCCTCTGGATTTCAGTTCTTAGGCTTCCCTTGGCCCTCAAGGGTGCTGGATCTCCAAGGGGACCGAGTGGGTGGAGCAAGGCTGAAAGCCTCAGTTATTGCAATAGGTCATAAATGTGTATATGTATATATAATGTGTGTGTACATTACGGCCCCATGCTTGCTAGGCAGGGGCTCTACCACTTGAGCCACTCCTCTGGCCCTTTTTTGTGTTGGGTATTTTCAAAATAGGAGCTTATGATCTGTTTACCCAGGCTGGCTTCGAACCATGATCCTCCTGATGTCTGCCTCCTGAGTACCTAGGATTACAGGCATGAGCCACTGGTGTCTGGCTAATTTGTTTTTGTTTTAATATTACAGGAAAATATGCTTTATTGATGGTGAGGCTTTTTGGTTTCCCCTTACATTTTGCTCCCAAGCTGAGGGCCTCATGGTCCTCCCCCTGGTCCTGGCCCCACACCCTGCTAGGTACAATGACAATGACAAAGACAGTAATCACTTTATACACAGCCAGTGGCAAGTGGTGCTATGTGCCCATGATGTCTCTCTGGTCCCTTCGGTGGCCTCTGTGAACAAAGAATAGATCTGCCCCAGTTTCCTGACCTGGAGACCAGAGTGTGGTTGCCCTAAGGGTGGATGGCAAGCATGGGATCCCAGAGACCCCCTGACCCTCCCCCATCTCCTCTGGGACAAGTGTGTGTTGTTGCTCAGGCAGCACAGGGTGCACGGCCATGGCTGCCAGGCCCAGGTGTCTGCCATGTGTGGACTGCAGCTATAGACCACGTGGCCACCTGCCGGGGAGACAAGGCTCCTACCTCATAGCACCTGCTGGTGGGGTGACAGAGGCTCCAGAGATGTCATCAGGCAGCTCCAGCCAGGCTGTGGCTGAGTCCCTGTCCTGGCTCCCATGCAGCCCTGCCATCTTGTCTGGCATTTCCTCCCATCCCCCTGCAACTCCCCCCTGACAGGACTCCTGCCTCCAAACCCCACGCAGACACCATCAGAGATCTACCAGAGTCCACAGTGGGCCAGCCCTGCTGCTCTCAGCAGCAGCTTTTTTGTTTCCATTTTGTGGATGGGGAAACTGAGGCTCAACAATGAAGAGACAAGGCAGGGCCTGGTGGCTGTCCAGGGATGGCAGAATTTGAGCCCTGGCTCTCTGACCATAGAGCATCTGTGGTCTCTCAGGCTGGGCTGGCCAGGCCACTTGCCCTCGGACAGGGTCCCCAGCACCCTCTAGGGCCATGGTCCCATACTGGTTGACCATCACAGCAGCTAGGAGCTTAGGGAGAAAGTGAGTTGTGGGGCTGTAGCTTAAAAACTGAAGAGATGCTTGTATACAAGTTCTCCCAGCAGCTCAATGCACACCAGCCAAAAGGCAGAAGCAACCTAGGTATCTAATGACAGGGAAATGGATGCATACAACACGGGCCATTCATACAATGGAATATTATTCACCCTTAAAAAGGAAGGAAAAGAGCAGGCATGGTGCCACACGCCTGTCATCCCAGAAATTCGGGAGGCATAGGTAAGGTGATCAAGGACCCAGGCAAAAGCATGAGACCCTATCTGAAATACAAACTAAAATAAAGAGGGGGTGGCGCTGGGGGGGAATGCCTGAACCAGTAGAGCACCCGCCTAGCAAGCTGGAGGCTCTGAGTTCAAACCCCAGTACCGCCAAAAAAAAAAAAAAAAAAAAAGCTCCAAAGAGACTCCTTGCTTTTTCCTCCACAAGGACTCAGCAAGCAGACACGGTCAGTGAACCAGGAGTCAGGCCATCAAGGACACTGAACGCCTTGACCTTGAACTTGCAGGCTCCCGTGCTCGGAGCTCATATGTGAGCCTGGTCTGCGATGCTTTGTCCTAACAGCCTGGGTGCACCAAGAGACTCGCACTCCCCAGCCACAAGGGCTTCCTCAACGTGTCTAATTCATCAAGTCATCGAGGAAGGTCACCAGTGATGGGGACGGCCAGGTGGTGTCCCTGTAAACCTCAGAGAGCCCCAGCCACCCTCCAGCTCTCCCACAAGGTCTTCATGAGCCGGTGTCCCCAGGGGACTTCAGACTCCTTGCTGTGTGTCCCACGGGCCTCCTGCAAGCTGTCCCTCCCCCATCCCGCAGAGATCCGGGGGGTCTCCTCACTTCCTGGGACAGCGCAGGACTTGGCTAGGTTTCGGCTTTAGCAAGAAAAGGCATGGAATTTGCATGGGCGAGAAAAAGGGTTGTCCGCGTGAGCAGAGCCACACACCCGCCGATCTCCTTGTGAGAGATTCCGCTCGGTGGCATTGAGGTCCCTCTGTCCGGGTCAGCTGGGGCACGGTGCTGCAGTAGCCCCAGGAGGGCCTTCTTCTCCAGAAGGTTCTACAAGAAGGATGAAAACTTCCGCATGTAGCAAACTCCTCTCCAAAGGAGAGCTCAGCCCGGGACGCCTTGATGGGGGCCACTAAGGGCCTCCTCGCTCCTCCTTCCTCCTGCTCGCCCAGCCACACACAGGCAGGCTGACACCAAGCCCAGTTTCATCCAGGTGTCCTGATCTTGCTGTGAGATCTTTGTGTCCCTGTTTGGTGGATACATGCCACCTGTAGCGCCATGGCTTTGATATTGAGGATTGGGGACCTGGGGCAGAAACAGGTATCTGAGAGCCACATGAGTGTCCTGAGCTCACCCAGGCCTCTCCCTTTTACCCCACTGGGACCAAAACAACGATCACATTTCCCAAGAAAGCTTGCCTAGGACTAGAACATTCCACAGCCCAGATTCTGCTCTC